TCTCCTCTTAATGTGTGAGCCATGTCCAATAATATTACTGCATTTGTTTTAGGTCTATAATCCACATATGAGGAAGAACATGCAATTTTTGGCCTTCTGAGCCCAGCTAACTTCGCTTAAGATGATGTTCTCCAGTTCCATTCATTTAGTTGCGAATGTCAAAATTTCATTCTTTGTGGCTGAATAAAATTCCATTGTGTATAAGTACTACATTTTTGTGGTCCATTTGTCAGTTGTGAGGCATCTTGGCTGTTGTGAATAGCGCTGCAATAAACATGGGTGTGCAGGTGCCTTTGTTGTAACCTGACTCACATCCTTTGGGTATATCCCTAGGAGTGGGATTGCTGGATCATATGGCAGTTCTATGTTTAAGAAGCCTCCATATTGTTTTCCAGAGTGGTTGTACTAGCTTACATTCCCACCAGCAGTGTATAAGGGTTCGTCTTCCTTGCATCCTCACCAATATTTGTTATTGGTGGTGGTGTTGATGATAGCAATTCTAATAGGAGTCAAGTGGAATCTTAGTTTTGATTTGCATTTCCTTTATGGCTGGGAATGGTGAGCATTCTTTCATGTGTTTTTTGGCCATTTGGATTTCTTACTTTGAAAAAGTTCAGTTGCCCATTTCTTCATTGGTTCATTGATTTGGGGGGTGTTTAGTTTTTTGAGCTCCCTGTATATTCTGGGTATTAGTCCTTTGTCTGATGTGTAGCCAGTGAATATTTTCTTCCAGTCTGTGGGTGGTCTCTTCAGTTTAGAGACCATTTCTTTTGTTGAGCAGAAGCTTTTTAATTTCATGTAGTCCCATTTGTCCATCCTTTCTCTTAGTTGCTGGGCTGCTGGAGTTCTACTTAGGAAGTCTATGCCTATACCTATTGTTTTCAGGGTCTTCCGTGTTCTTTCCTGTACTAACTGCAAGGTTTGGGGTCTGATATTAAGGTTCTTAATCCACTTTGAGTTGATGATCACTGTACTTCTTGAGGGATAAAGAAAAGAGAAGGAAGAGAGAGAGGAAAGAGTGGGGAGAGGGATGGAGAAAAACAACCAGCAATTATAGCATGTGTTTTGTCCATGTTTTCCCTTTCCTTTCCTTCTCAGGGAAGTCCTCAAATTCTCTGTCATCCCAATGGCAGTTTCGTATTAGTTTTCATCATCAAAACAACTTTACAAATATGTATCTCTAGTCTAATTTTTATGATGTAAAACAGGCTGAAAGAAATTCTCAAGTTCATTATTTTGTTAGATGTTTCTAATCCAGATGCTTTTGCTTTGTCTGTCAGCAAGCAGATTTGACTGGAATTAATTTCTGGGAAAATTAATTGATTAACAATGTTTTATTGACTGAATAAGCCTATGCATCACAGCAGGGATGATGAGTTTCCAGTTTTAGAAATGATGAAGGATGTGTCATTTAGGTTAGGACCCTTAACTAATGTCAGTTAAAAACAAGAAAGTATATTGTATAATTATATACTCCACAGATGTGTGATTTCAAATGTGGAGGGTGATAAAACGTACTTTTTGGCCATTGCATAATTTCATGGACGTGATATTGTGACAGCCTAATTATATTGTAAATTGGATAGACACAATGTCTCTTCTCAGAAGGTTGTTCACTAAGGAGAATGAATGATAAAGTTTTTACTTTTCTGTGGTGCTGAGGTTTGAACTCAGGGCTTACAGATTGAGCCACCCCATCTTGTGATGGTTTTTTTTGAGATAGAGTCTCGTAAAACTATTTTCCTGGTCTGGCTTCCAACACCGATCCTCCTAATCTCTGCCTCCTTAGTAACTAGGATTACAGGCGTGAGCCACTAGCTCCTGGCTAAGGTTTTTAGTTTTTTGGTGGTACTGGGATTTGAACTCAGGGCTTTGTGCTTGCAAGGCAGGTGTTCTACCTTTTGAGTAGTGCCCCCAGCCCTTTGCATGGTTATTTTGGAGATAGGGTCTTACTTTTTGCCCAGGTCATCCTCTGATCCTCCTATTTTATGCTTTACACTATAGCTGGGATGATAGGTGTCAGGCACCACACCTAATTTTTTTCTGTTGAGATGGAGTCTTACAAACTTTGTTCCCAGGCTGGCCTGGAACCATGATCTTCCCAATCTTAACCTCCCACATAGTTTAGGATGACAGATGTGTGTCTCCAGACTCTACTACTACAGGTTGAAATGAGGTCTCTCAAATGCCCTGGCTGGTTGGCCTTGAACTGTTACCCTCCTGATCTCAGCTTCCCACGTAGCTAACAATTTCTACTTTCAACCTCAGCTTTCCCCTACAGTTTTGTAAATTCATATGCAGACAAGAAAACTCCTGCAATGATCTACGTTTCTCCATTTTGAAGTCCAATAAAATTTTCTAGATCATGCCATCATTCCAAATGGTTATGAAGACTTTCCAAAGTGTGTGATTTTCTTTAACTTTTTCCTAATTTTTTCTCTCTGGTGTTTTTGGTCAGACTGTGAAAACATAATGTAAGTAACCAGGTAAGCCCTACATGTCCTCAAAGGAGTAATGAATTATTCAATTTCAAATGAAGATACCGGAAATGTATTTGGATGATCAACAGTACTGTCCCTCACAAACTTTTCATTGATAACATTTGCATGCTAAGAGCCTCTGCATATGAAAGTTATAAAGCATATAGTGTAAATTACTCCATCTTCATTATACATTGCCTTCTTGATCACAGCCTCCATAGTGCTTACAATTCAAAGTAAAAATTACTGCTCCATCAAACTCATTTTAGGTATAGGCAGGATCCCCCCACCACAGCCCCAGTTGACTCTTCTAAGTTATGTTTTAATTAAAATAAATGAAGGTTTACAAATTCTGTGATATGTTTAACTTCTGTTTCAAATATTCATACTTCAAATATTCTGATATCATTTTAAAATTTTTGTTTGGCATCTCAGCTACCATGCCTTTTTAAAGGCATTTATCATTTCATGTAAATTGTAGAAAAAAATTTAAGTCTCCATCAGCAATCATTGTATAAGATTTCTGAAAGAAAAAATAGAAATAATCCCATCACTGCAGCTCATTGTGGGAGAGTACATCAAGTTTGTTCTTGATGCAAAGTTGAGATTCACTTTGATCTCACATCAAATGTACAGGGATTCCATTAGGCAGTTCATAGTAGGTTTATTTCCTCTCTGGCATAGGTTAAAATAAACATGTCAGTAACAGTGTTTATCTATAAATACAGCAGCTGGCATGGGGCTGAGGTTAGTTATCAGTTAATTTCATGGCTATAAAACTATAAATTTCATTATTTATAACAGGTAGGGAGAATCTTCAATACACTTCAGTAGCCAAGAGACCCTCAGTGTACTCACAGCTCTAAGACTCAGCTTCCTCCTAGGGTGCAATGTGTTGGATTATAGAGTGACTGCTGGACACATTTACACTTTCACTGGATCACTTGCTCAGCACTTCTGTCTTTGATCTATTATGACTTCATTAATGAGTTCCACATGACTGAAATCTAGTGACTGAGTTGATTCTTTCTAAATTTTTCTAGGTGAGTCACAATTACTTAGAACAGTTATGTATACAAAAGAAAAAAAAGTGAAACCATTGGAAATTCTCATCTCCCCACTTAGAGCATATTGTCAGTAGTTGTCCTTCTCTCTAATAACCTCACTTCTGTAAACAACTATCTACTCCTATTTAGATTTCCAGGTCCCAAGTGGATGAAATATCTGTAACATACAGAAAAACTTTCTCAAGAGGAGAATTTTTCTACTTTTTTAATGCCTCAAAACTGTGGTTATTGGACCATTGGTTATGTTTCACATTCATATTTGATGTTGAATTGAGTCGAAACTAAGGGTGATTTCATTTTGTGGTTATCAAATAAAATAGATCTACCAATTCATTTTTATGATGGTATCGTCTTGTCTTTAAAGCAGACAAAGCCAGAGAATAGGGCCTATCACCACGAGGAAAGATTCTTCTTTAAAATATGGCCACTATGAAGTTTGCTTTTCTGACTTACAAGATTAATGATGACTAGTAGGAGTGCATTTCTCACAGAGATGGTCGATAAGATGAGGGCTTGAGAGGGGCTAGTAGGAGCCCTTTGGGGAGGTTAAAAAAATCGGTATCAACAGTGGAAACTGAAGGTTTAGCTGGGAGCCCATGGACATAGGACAACAGAAGTAAACAAAACCAGGTATTAACAGTGTGTGAGCAGAGGGGCACTCCGAGTGTTTGGTTTAGGGACTCTCCTTTAGGGCAAGTCATTTGTACAGGGGAACTTAGGAAATGGGATATCCTTAAAAACACATTGAAACACAATCACTCCTGCAAAGAAGGAATTTTTTTCAATACCCGGATGAGTAGCCTAAAGTAACTGATTTTTGTTTTTCCAGTCTGTATATTAAGCACAATAAGTTATCTTATAAAATGTAATCTTTTTCACTAATCATGGTTTACAAAAAAAAAGTTGCTTGAAAGAAATTATCTGATCAAAAGAAGGAAACAAACTGTACTTTCACATAAATCTTATGTATTAAAATAGTGTCTACCTTTATCTCAAATAGACTAAAATATCATGCTTTTCATTTTATCTGTTTTCTTCTACAGAATTGGAGAACAGGAGGGCAGAACAAGTCCTGGCCAGGAGGGAGGGCTGGCAGCAGTGGGAGCCGGGAGGTGGTGGGGAAAGGGGTGGGAGGGTGAATATGGTGCAGATAGTGTGCACACATGTTTGTAAATGCAACAATGAAACCTGTTGCAACTACTCCAGGAAATGGGGGAGGGGGATAAAGGAGAATGATGAAGGGAGAATTCAACTAAGATCCATTTGATACATTGTAATAACCTGTGTAAATGCCACAATGTACCCCCAGCCAGCACAACAATGAAGGAAAAACAATAGTGTCATGTAAATAATTGCTGTTTTAATGTAATAGAAAGCAAATTACAACCTGTGTGATAAAAATAATATAGGGTATTAAAATGCTTTCATCTCATTTTTATTATTTCTCTTTCAGATTATCCAACTCTTTCTGATGTCAAAGGCATGGCACTATATAAAGGAGAGCATGAAAAGGAGCTTACTCTAGCTGGATTTCCTTCCCCGTTCAGTGGTCAGTTAAAAATTGTTCTTTATAATATTTTAATTATCTCTTCCCTCTGGAAATCCAGTCAACTTTGAATCTTTTTTTCCTAGGAGAAGTCATCTATGCTATCCTGGGCATGGCAGTCACCTGTGGAATCCTTTTCTTGGTTATGCTCAGCCTTAGGTAACTGAATAGAACCCACCTGCAGGAAGACATTACCACTGCCTGACATTAATTTACTCTTTCCTAATCCTTTTTCTGGTTTGTGTTCATTGCTGGAACTCAAGAATGTCCCAGCAAGCACACAGCACTTTCACTTGGATCAATGTTTGCATTTCTAAATTTCTGAGATTTAAAATGTGTTAGTATTGACAAACAGATATAATATAGTGTGTACTCGCTTTTAATTTTTAAAATAGCCTAATATTTAAATATCAATCGAGAAATGTCTGTGTGTGTACATATATTTACATCTCTGCACACACATAAATTATGTTAGTCAGTAAGTCTGGGCTTCAATAGTAGCAGAGTCAGTGGAATTCTTCTTCTGTCATGACATCTGATTCCTACAAATGAAAACTGACTAGGTCAGGTCACAATGAGTGTACACACTGCTCCTGCAGAACCAACCTAAGAAATCTAAGACTTGCAGGCCTTGACAACAGCGTGGATATGAAAACCTGAGGTGGGAGGTGTGTGACCAAATACATCCATGATGGGTGTATTCTGTACCCAAGAGACATTCAAATGTTTTTATTTTTAAATGCAGCAGAGCTAAAGAACATATATACACTTATTGTTTCCAACCCACCTAAACATTTAATTTGATGCTTACCGAAACCAGAACCAAAACAAACTGTTCTTTTCCAGGGTCTTAAAATTTGTATTTGCATGAGAAGATGTTTCATGGGTTCCAACGCACAGTTTGAAGACTAAAAAATGTCCATTTCTAAAGGAGAAGACTTGCATTTGGAATTGATTAAACTTTCCTTTATTTGGTTCAAGTATTTGAGAACACTTTTCTGTTACTCCACTTGCCTAGATATCCATGACAGATACATTGTTTTGGAGAAACACAAACAGTTTTCTGGCCCAGCAAGACTTTTACATTAATGGTTCTTGATCTTCACAGCTGCATACATCACGTCTGCCACAGGGGCCTGTGTGTTTTTACCAGTGATGTTGTGTCACAGATAAATAGTGTGCAGGCTGTACATAACTCCCTGTGTGTCAGCTGTAATGTCACCTCTTTCTTGTCTGCTCAGAAAGGGAAGGAAATTCCTTTCTGAATGACAGTGATAGTGTTACTAGTGTAGACAAAAATCTTGATTTTAATATGTATTTTAAAGCAAATTATTTGCACTCTTAAGCACATTACATTTAGTTACAAGTTACTTTCCATATGATTTAAAATTGATTGTGGTGTGTAACCTGAAAGTTTCAGACAAGGATTAGGTAATTGGCAAAGCAAATTTCATTATTGCAACATCAGAAAAAACCAGAAACATCCACAATAAAACCTGGGGCATCACACATGTAGAGATAAATACTGGCCTCCATGAATTTCAGGCAGTGTTCACCTACGCCGTGGTCACACCTAATTCATGTGAGTATCTACCTTTAGTAAAGACCAAGATTTTTTTACTGTGTTTCATGGTCCTACTAAATGAAACTAAGTTTGCAAAGAAACAATTAAAAATTTAAATATTTGAGAAAAGAAAAGACCTTTACAAATGCGTATTTGGAAATCACAGTGAAACCCTATACAAGATCTTAGAATATATTCAGAACTTGATTATATTTTGCTCCAAGTGAAATATAACCACATGCAAATACACTTGTTAAATACTTAATATGGCCTGTTGTTAACTTTTGTTTTCACTTTTGTGTAGAATCTCCAGGCTATTGAGTGAAGAAAGAAATCCTCCAGCAATCCAAATACCTGGAGCAGTCATCGTTCACTAAGAGCAATGGATCATTAACAATCACTTTCTTCAAAGCAAGTGTCTGTAGTCAGTCAACAGACTACTACATCCATCATTAAAAAGGAAACTATTAAGAATTATTTCACGATATTGGGTCATTAAATATAACATGAGTTACAGTAATATGGTTTAATGATCTTATATTTGCCTTTCTTAATAAACTATTTAAGAAAATGGATGTAGTTGTACCTTTTATAATACAAGATGAGTAGAGAATTAAAGTTTCCTGTAAGGCTAAGAGGTTATACAAAGCCTCCTTTGCTTTACATGGCATGAATGCTTACAATGTTAACCGCTTTCACCATCATACAATATTGTAGTTAGCAGGGCTTTTTTCTGATCCAAACGGTAGGTTACCATTAACTTGCCAGAAGGGAAATGTCACTAAGAATACTTAGCAAATGTGTTCGTAAATTGCAACACATGCATTACACAGCTCAGTAGATTGTGGAGAAGCTCTTGGTCAGTCTTATGTAATCATCAGTTGTGTTTATATCACTGTGTGATCTGCTGAGTGTCTCACTGTACTTAATTTTGTGAAAATCTGTCTCCCACAAGGCAAATGGTGCCCAAAAGCAAGGTAAAAGTTAATGTGCTTAATTTATGTGATGAAGTGAAAATTTTAGGTTTGTTGAAAGGCAGGATGTATTTAGAGGAAGTTGTGTAGCATTACGGGAAAAATGAATCAAGCATCCATAATACAGTGCTGAACTCTGTGTATGCAGAGCACTCACAGCTCCTCCTCAACAGCAGTCTTCTTGGAACCACAGACACCAGTGCCACGGCCTTCTGTATTTGCAAACCCTTACCTATTTTCAAATCATTACCACTGACTTTAAGTCCCTAAATATATGTTTGGTAAGGTGAGTCTTAAAAATAAAAAATGAAATAAAATTTTTGTAATTTGAGTGTTGTTGAATTTCCCTTTTTAACTTGATGTTTTCATATCTATCAAGGTGAAAAGCAATTTACATTGACTGAGAAAAGTCAGCATGTATTTCCATAATGATGTGCTTTATTTGTGGATTTAATTTTTTCTTTGCTAACTATTGTGGACTTTTGCAATAATAATAACACCTTAATTGCTATTTTATTATTGTTTCTATACTTTTGACTTAGTTTGATGCTAAAATAACTGATTGGAAAATTGTGGAAAAGATGTTTATGCATTAAATTCTTGATAAATATGTGCTTTTTGAATGTCTACAATCACATCATTGCTCAGAATAGCCATGAGGTCTTTTTATTTATAGTAGCCCAAAGGCTCAAATATTCAATAATTTGAGGATACCATATCGGTTATTTGTGACATATTTGCAATTTAAGGTCAGATATTTTTCTGTTTGTTCCAGTCTCATTTCCATTAATTTTCACTATATTTCAGATTAAATTGTCTACATTAAATCAAATTTGAAGTGAATATTTCACTTTGTGCACTCAGAATAATTGAAAAGCTGCTGCTTACATTTTAAAACAGGAAAGAAAAACCTTGTAAGTCCCAGCTGCCCCCGGGGAGTTCTGTATACTCCAGAGACTGTGCAGAGTTAATGTGAAGAGCAAGTAGTGATGTTCTTCTCCAAACTCTTGCCATTTAGTGTAGACATGCTAATGTCTAGGGAAATGTGAAGTCCTCTCTGGGAAACTTAGGAAGTCAAGCTGCTTTTACAAAATATATTTGTGTTGAGTAGAGAAGGGAGAGAAGAGAGTGATGTAGGATGGCCTTTCTGAAAGACAGAACCTCACTTTCTAGGCCAGAAGAAGGCATAATTGCAGCATTAAATACTTGGGAAACTCTATAAATAGCCACCTGTCTCTATAACAGGAGTTCCAAACTGAGACGATGCTGGACATGCAACTGACAAACATCAGGACTGAAACATTTACCTGATGGCACAGATCAAAAACCTACTCTTAACAGATATTTTTAACATGATCCTTAAGAGTTTCCACAAATTTGGCTGTGGGCTCCATCAGGAAACAGCCCCACTTAAATCCTCATCATTTACTCTCTGTGCTCTGGGAAGACTTTCTCAACACAGGGTACCCCCTGGGCCAGGTACCCTTGCTCAGTGCTCCCCCATCTTAGACCATTGGAGCTCACTGACATTGTTTCTTCATTGTTGTTTTTCTCACTAAATTGTAATGCTTGATTTGGGCTTTTGGTTCATCTCTGCTTTCCATTCCTTAGCACAGAGTGTATGTAAAATAAACAATTGTTCAGTGAATGAATTACTTTATTTGGAAGGCTATGAAGTGCCACAAAATAGTTTTAAACAAAGCAGTGGTATCACCAGATTTCTGAAGGAGAAAATGTGTGCTAGCAAAATTGTAAATATGGACTGAGAAGGCCAAGACTAATGTCAATGAGACTGCTTCAAAATATATTGCGATGTTTAGCTAATAAATATTGAAAACCAGCATTCGTTAATTCAGTCAATACTTGTTTTACTGAGCACATACAATGCGCCAGTCAGTGCACTAGGAACTGAAGGTACAATTCTGAACAAATATCTTGGAGATTTGAAAAACAAAGGATACAAGGCAATTTCTGAAAGTGATAAATGTTAAAATAAATGAATGGTTGGTAGTAGAATGTTGTATAAAGGGAAATTAGCAGTGCTGTGAAACAAGGGCATGACTTTCATCAATGCTTCACACATAGAATAGTTGGCACTTGAAGTCAGGTATTTCAGGAAGCTGAGGTTATCAAGATCGTGTTAAGAATATGCACTGGTAAGAGTGGGCTTTTGATCTGTGCCTTTAGGTAAACCATGGTGACATTTAGAAAGCGGGTTCAAACAGGAAGAGGAGGAGGTTGGAATGGGAAAAGGCACTATTCCAGTTATCTCCAGATCTGTTCTCAAGGTTCCTTAACTCTTCTACGCCTCTAGGACCTATATACACTACAGACTCCTTTGTCCTCTGACTTCCAGGTGGTTCAGACAATGGTGAAAACTAGCAGATGGGTAGATATTCCCTGAGATCTCTCCTTGAGGTGTCAGCCTAGGTGGCTTTTTTTCTTGACTCCAGTAAACATCTTCTCACCTTTCTTTTTCATACTTAGTGATGCCAGCAGCTCAGCTGTTACTCTTCCTGTGTCCCTGAACTACTATACGATCCATAATGGTTTTCCTACAACCATCCACACATGTATAAGAACTATAAGAACTCCCTGCTTTACATACTTCTAAAAGAGTCATACAATTTAGATAATTTGGGCTTTTTCCTAATTTGAGTCTACCTTCTATTTCTTGTTTAGCTCCCACTGATGGTAATGGTAATTATTTTGGGTATGGACCAATTGATTTTCAAACACCAGCAGGATTACCAGGACATCCATGCAGAGTTACCTGGTAATTAACAACAATAACAGCAACAAAACTAAGTGGGATCTAAGCCAGAGTTCCCCACTATCTTCCAGACATCTCTCATCCCAGCTGAGAAAGCCAGCTTACACCAGAGAACCACTTGTGATTTCAGAAGAAAGCCACTGTGGGGAGGGGTGGTCAGATTACCAGGTGGCAGAGATTAAGATCTCTCCTCCAAAAATTTGGGCATTGATAAAGTTCCCTCCTGAGTAGTCTGACTATTCCAGTAATAAACTGTTCTGCCTCTAAGCTGCTTCTTCCCATTTTACCCATAGCCTGTTTCCTTCACAGAATTCTTCCCATAAACTCTCAGGCAGTCCTGGGAGCCAGGAGTGAGCAGAGTGGCACCAGCTGGAACCAGGTGAACAGAATCATCTCTTGGGAAACATTTTAGGGTAGAGGGAAAACATGGACTTTGTGGTTATTCCACAGCTTGAGCTTAGGTCTGTTCCTACTTTTGAATTCCCTAGGAGAGTTCTGAGAAACAAATTTGGGGGTTATTAGCACGTGTATCCTATTTATTCCCATGTACAGTGAAAGGAATACAAATTATTTCAAGAGTAAATAGAATATTTCTTCTTTTTTATTTTCTAGAATAGTCATAGTGTGAGCTCAACAAACCCAAGAGTGAAATCTAAAGGACAGGTGGAAAAATGATGACTTAGTCTCTTGAAAGGCAGTGTATCATCTGTGAAATAACATGGCTATGTTTACACATCTCTACCTGCCTGGTTTGCTCCTTCTCACTTTGCTCTCCTTAGAACCTGGAGATGAATACCATCTGTGCTGCAGCAATTTACTGACTTGAGTTTCTCAAGTTGTTCCCCAAGTGCCTCTGTGAGGCCTCAGTGTCTACTGAGACCATACTGCCTGCACCCCAAAACCAAAAAAGGAAGTAGAGTGAGTGTCTCCAGATCTTTCCCTGCAGCTGCCAGTTGTAAGAAATGTGTCCTTAATCAGAGGTTCACATTACTTATAGTTGTCCACAGTCTTCTATGAAAAAAGGGAACATGTGCCCTTAAAATAGAGTTTTAAAGTTTAGATAGGCAAGATTGCCAGAATTAAATATAAACAATAGTCATAAAACTCCATAAAATGATGGAATTTTCTGTTTAGGGTAATTACATCAATCATAAAAGAAAAGCCTATAAAGTATTCTCTAGAACAATTTATGCAGAGTGTAATGGAGTATTTGGTATTTATACCCACAGCAGAATACATACATAATTAGATAAAATATTTTTTAAGTATTTTCTAAAATATTTTCAAAATATTTCATATCTAGTTAAAAACATAACTACAAATACAAAATAACCATAAGCCCAAAGTGTGCATTGGATACATGTATACATTACTAATGGAGCAGAGTTTTTAATTTACAGCTTAACATTTTAACACAAGACTACATTTCACTTTCTATGGAGAGGCATTATTAAAAGCATTAAGGGGACATATTTCCATTGGTACCAAAGAGCTGTTTTGTTACTTTCCATAAAATAATATCAGAAAACAAGAATTGCCTACATATGTATTTAGGGCAGCAAGTACTCAAAAAAGAATTAATGTTAAAATCATTTTAGATTTCACTTGAATATTCTACTCAAACTGACTAGATCTGCAGACATATTTTTAGGAGGTC